AATGTGTTGGGTTGTAGTTGACTATAATCAAACGTAACAAAACGTAACAAACTGTAACTGTGGTCCAAAATCCAACCAAACTGTACATTACATCACAGAAAGTTACGGTTTGCTACGTTTTTTCACACTAACTTTTTCCGTTGGGGTAGGTGGAATATTTTGCAGCAAGAAAACAGTAAACTTACAAGTTTATCCATTACTTGATGGTCAAAAAGAGCAGATGCCACAGGTGCTCTTGTAAATAATTTTACTGGTATTTTTAATACTCTGTGCCACTTAGCCAATGATCAAACTCAAAAAACAGATACTTGACAAGAAGCTTCGTCATTAATGAATAAAATTACTAAACTAGAAAATGCGTTTATGGCAGTACTTTGGCATGAAGTTTTGAGTAAATTTAATGCTACCACTGCAAATTTACAAAAAGTTGAGCTAGACTTAAATGTAGCCTAAACTATGATGTTATCTTTAGTAAAATTTTTTTTTAAATTAAGGGATGATTTTGTAAGAATAGAGGAAAAGTCTAAAGCTTTGAGTTTAGTAATCATCCAAAAACACTCTGACGCTAATAAAAGAAAAATCACAAAAAAATTAACGGACGGTGAAAACAAACGGAACCATTTTCAGGGGCTGACAAATTTAGAATCGAGACTTTTAGTGTTATAATGGATAAATTAATTAAAGAAATGCACAAAAGAATCGAGGCTTATGCCGATATTACTGAAAAATTTGGATTTCTATGTAATCTTTTGACTATGGACGGAGATGAAATTAGAATAAAATCTTAAAACTTAGTTAAACTTTATTATGAGGATTTACAAATCGATTTAGTCAATGAAATGGAACTATTTGTTTCAATGCTGAAAATGCAGCTGGAGGGATTTTTTTTCTAATTTAATAGTTCGAGAAGAAAAAAGTCAACTTATTTCTCCCTTCAAAGTCCTCAACTGGATAGTTAAAAAGCCAATGGTGGATGTTTTTTCAAACGTTTATATAGCACTTAGAACATTTGTGATCATACCTATAGCGCACTGTGAGGCAGAAAGATTGTTCTTGGTTTTAAAACGAATAAAAATTAAGTACCGAACAGTATAATATTAGATGAACGATTGACAGCATTAACTCGCTTAGCGATTGAATCTGAACTAATGAGATCAATTGACTTTAATGATATACAAGACTTTGTGAAATCGAAATTAAGGAAAAAAGCATTCTTGTAATAAAAATAAATTAATATATTAATTCGATTGTTTTTTTATTTATTTATATTGAGATATTTATTTATTTTTGGTAATATTTTAAACCGTATTTATAATATAAAATCCTTATAACTACACTAATTAAAATGTTATGTTTTAAATACCATAATTTTGATGAATTAAAAAAGGGCCCTGTAGTATAGGTAGCCCCGGGCACCTCAAAACCTTTATCCAGGCCTGACAGTGAGTATACCCATATAGTATAAGGATATCTCGGAGGCCTTCGAGCTTCGAGTGCTCTGACAAAGAAGTAAAGAACTTGTGTTCATTTACAGATCGCTTGGAGGCCTCACAGCGCTCGGAGCGGTATAAAGTGGATAAATGAACAAACCTAAGGTTAGCTGGATGTTGCATCTCTTTTTAACGTGTTAACGCTTCCACTTACAGGCTTGCCTACTCTATCTATAATATCTCTACGCCAGAACCTCGTTTGACCTTGCCCACGGTGTAAGATAAAAGATAAAACGAAGTACCACCTCCAATGGGTTGCAGTTTTGTAGCAGTACCGATCACACTCGTCAGATGGTGTATGAGTAAGAAAGGCACAATATATAGATATAACAACCAAATGATTTAACTGTAACTCTATTTATTTTCAAATTTTACAATCTACTACTAATACGTAGGATAAGATACAATAGACGCAATGAATAAATGAATTAATAATTAGGTTGAAATCAATTTCAATAATTTTTTTTTCTCCCTGCTTTCTTGTAAAACATCCTTATTTTGTATGTTAACGTGCTGTCTCATTCTCATGCTAGTGTAATAAGAGATAGATTTGGATATTGCATCCTCTTTATGTAGTCTATAGGGGAACTGAAATTTATTTTGCAAAAGATTTTCAACAACATATTCGTAAACATTGACAAGCTGATTATTTATGGCTTTTCTAAAATATTTTTCTATTTTATCAAAGAGTTTGTAAAAAAGAGTATTTGCATGGATAAGTCCTCCCCTATTTTTTAAGTTAATAATTAGTGCTTCTGATTTAACAGAGTTTCCGGGATTACTATTTAAAGTAATTTGACATGTGGTGCATTTTTCAAATTTTTTTCGTAGTTTTCGACAAATAAAGTCAGTGACGTAATAAGTGATACAACTTATCGTGAACAATATTGTGAGAAACGTTAGAGTTTACATTTACACTTTGATGCACCTTTTACGTTACAATTGTTTTCTCGTCTGCTACCGCCTTTTCGACACCAATCCTCCTAGTGGTTAATTTTGGTACTGCTAAAAAATTGCAACAGACGTCTGTTACAGACCGCACAAAGCACATTTCGTACCACCTGTCTTATCTTACACCGTGACCTTGCCATATTTTATTCATTATATTATAAGTATTATAAGGATGGATATGAAGACTTTGGTTGGGATTTTTTAATATCATCGTATTTGATCTTATTTGGTACTTTAGTAAGCAGCCAATACACAAGATTTTTAAATGGGTGGCAAATGGTCAAGTATGGATCCTTCTGAAATAAAAATTCCAGAATTAAATAATTTATTAGATAGGGATCCTATTTTAAAGCCGTACGAAAATGAAATTAAAAAAAGGTACAGTATTTTCGAAGATTTATAAACAACTTATATTCGTGTCTTGAAAGTTGGTGTCGAGTACGTACCCCTAAAAATGGTTATTTTTTATACATAATTTGTATATAAAAAATTAATTGTTATAAAAATCAGCTACTTATTTTCATAATTTCCTCCAAAATTTTTATATTTCCTCCANGGGGGGGGGGGGGGCGTCAGGTCGATTTGTAATCCGAAATAAAGCGGCGCGCCGGAGCTGTCAAAACACACGCGTGGCGGCGATCAGTTAAAAACGAAAAAAAAAAGAAAGCTAGAGGGCGGCTCTGGTAATTTGTTTACGCGGTGATTTACAGCGCGAACGGCGCCCCTCTTCTCCTTTTTTTTATTCTTCAACTACTGCAGCACCGCTCGCAGGATCATTCACGTGATTAATGAAGTAATTTTGTCGCTATTTTTTTCGTGGGGATTCTCGTTGTTGTTATTTTAATTTTTTTTTTAATATTGATTGAAAATCCTTGAATTCCTTAGTTTTCAAGTCATCATCTACATGATTACACTATTCACGGCTAATAACAACATTAAAAGTTATAACATTTAGAAACATTTTTTTTGAACATTCACGCAAAAGTTAAAGCTATTAACACATGTATTTTAAAGCTATTATTCACAATAATTAATCGTTACTTCCTAGTAGGTTATAGCTGTAAATGAAGGTCATTATAGATATGATCAGCTTTTACTTATAGGTGTCATTTTAGCTACAAAGTTTTGACTGAGTATTCCGTACTGCTCAAACAAACCACTATAAATATAACTTCAGTCTATTACCTCTAACAAAGGCTCATAACAATTGGGCCGTATATCAAGCAGATGCACTATGGAGTATTCCAATAAATTAAAGATTGGAATATAAACAAAAGTAAAAATACATTTAATGCTTAATATCATGTCTCGTCCAATATGCACAATGGATGGGTAGATAAAGCACATAATAAGAGATTTTCTGCAACTATGACAAAAATTTTTGGAATCACTTCGTATTACAATCGAAATATATGGAAAAATAGTTTTAGGACATGCTCGTCCCGATTTTTTTTTGTTAAACAAACAGCAAAAATCTACCAAATGTATTCTTCGAATTTCTTTGATAATTTTTTTTTTTCAGGTGTTGTATTGCAAAAATAGCAACGTATAATTTGTTCGCTATTTAATTGTCTACCGATCAATGCCAGTTAAATTATCTGAAATCGATTCTTTAGGAAGTTATGTAACATTAATGTGATCGCCATCCTTAATTCTAATTACTCACCTATTGATTTATTATTGTAGAATGAAAGTTCTTTAAAGTTTGAAACTCGATACCTCTAATAGTAAACTATAACCACTCTCAACGATTTTTGTTCAACATGAAAAATGACTGCCTTTTCATTCATTATAGGGTACCCTGAACCTTATGATACCTTATAAATCGTCTATTTTTAACAAATAAAAAAAATCATGTGCGGGTTTCGGGACACCCGACAGACGTGAAACATAAAAGAATACGTTATTGAACTGGGTGGTATTTAATTGTCTATGATAAAAAAGTATTATTTTTTCACCCTAAAAAATCTTCAATTCATATTTTTATATTACAACGACAGTTTATTGACGAGTATATATTTTTATCAGTCAATATTGTAGGTTAGAAAAAAGCAAATATCAAATTATGTTTATATTTTTTTTATTCATCAACATGTTAAAAATATGTCATAAATTGCCCGAGCTAAAATATATAGCTGTCAATATAGCTATTGAAAACAGCTGTTTTGACCAGTGTTTCCGATTGCAGTGAGTTATGAAGCACTAAAATTCAATAAAGTCAAAAGACCATTTTTGAAAAAATCAAAGAAAAATTGTTTTAACCTTTTTCTGATAGTAATAAGTTGATTAAAATAACATATTGATCCATATGAATTTGTTGTATTGGGACTTTAAAAATTTATAATTTTTTCACAATGTTCATTATTCTTAATGAACATATAAATTCAAGTTCACGTTATACATGTCAACATGTCTTGCACTTTTTTACTTTAGATACAATTATATTTTTTATGCACAATCTTTTACTTCTTATATCATCCAATATAAACCAACTTCATGAAAGGCCATTATTTGTATAGTCTTCTATTTGGTTCTGTAATATAAAATTATTTATTACTCGATATACTTTATTTTCTTATGACAATGTGCGCTTAAGATCTTACTAGAAAAAAACTTTCTGCGTATTGCAAAGTATAAATGCCACTACTTATCACTTGAATTTGACTGCTGAGGGAGATCCATGCAGATAACAGTTAGATCTTCATAAATATTAGTATATTTGTTTATTTCATTCCGATACTCTAAATTAAGATAATGCAACGTGTTGGCTTTTACACTGTTCAGATTACAATTATTAAGCGAGTCAAAAATCAGGAGGAAAGGTCTGTCATTCACTATGAACCAACCATTTATTAGCATTCTACAAATTAAGTGATGCAATTAAGTAGTAACTAATTTAGACGGGTATATGAAGCACCTAATAAAGAATTTTCTGCGACTACGACAGACGTTGATGGAATCGCTTCGTATAATAATCTGAATACATGGAAAAATAGTTTGAGAGCATAATCGTGCCAGCTTTTTTTGTTACTAAACGAATAGTGAGAATCAAACAAATTTTGTTGTAGTGCTAATGAAGGCGAGTAAAGGGCAAAAGTCGCCATTAAAAATTTCAATTTTGCAACATTATTAACTTTTACATTTTTTAATACAAATTCTTCAAAATTTGAAATTTGACATCTCTTATAAGGATTTTTAACCATGGACAACGATTATTGTATAACATTGAAAATGAAGTGACGAAACGTTTATTGATGTAAAAATTCATTTGACTGCCCTAATTCTTGCAGTATACCTAGATCACATTTTAAAAAGGGAGTTTATTAAGGATACAAAGATATAAGTAAAAAAAAATTGTTTTAATTTTAACCCCAAATTTTTATAAAACTCAATTTTGCAACATCAACAAGTTGTTATAACTCTGACATTTCAAATTATATTGTGTTGTAACCAATTTTGATTCATACGGTATATTTTTACACGAATTATAAAAAAAAATTAATTGCAATAACGTGTTTTTAACAAAAGTTATAAAAATTAAGTGTTCGTAATGATTGTATGAATTTTGATGGCTGTTTCGACTTGAAAAATTTTTTTTCTACTTGTATAGGATACTTTTTGTTCATTTATGTGAAGCATTTTAGACCTCGAAATTTTAGAAGAAATTTTAGACCTCGTCACCACCAAAATTGTTGAAAAAAAACTAACTGGAAAATAGACTTTGTAACATATCCTCTTATGGAGGGTCGTCAAATTGGTGGCGCAGGTTGTATGATATATCTCAGCAAAGATACTGTAGTTCTCAATAGAAAACTATGTAGCAGATAGAAGAAATCAGAATCTTTCCAACGACATTCAGGTTCTTATAACTAAGTTGTTATAACTCTGACATTTCAAATTATATTGTGTTGTAACCAATTTTGATTCATACGGTATATTTTTACACGAATTATAAAAAAAAATTAATTGCAATAACGTGTTTTTAACAAAAGTTATAAAAATTAAGTGTTCGTAATGATTGTATGAATTTTGATGGCTGTTTCGACTTGAAAAATTTTTTTTCTACTTGTATAGGATACTTTTTGTTCATTTATGTGAGTTAATGTTTTTTGCATTTATTACCCCTGATAAATCAGTTCGGTTGTCACTATATTCGTTTAGTAACAAAAAAAGCTTGCACGATTATGCTCCAAAACTATTTTTCTATGTATTTAGATCGTAATACGAAGCGATTCCATCAATTTCTGTCGCAGTCGCAGAAAATTCTTTATTAACCATTTTTTGAGGTTTCTTCTACTTGTATAATTTTTTATTTATATTTGTTTCAAATTTTTGTTTACATTTCAAAGGCTTTATACTGTAAAAGCGAATAGTGACAACAAATATATATTAGACACCAAAATTAAAGCATGAAATTTTTTGTAGTGCAATAATATTAGACAAGGTAACCAACAACATTACTTACGAAATACTTGCATCATAGCGAAAGTTGAATATTTAGTTTTATTGATAACGATGATTTTAAAGAATTTAAACTTATACGAATACGCTAAACTGTACTTTCACAGGATACATTAGTTTGATGCCACAGACGTAAAGTAGGTGTATTAAAAAAGTTTCGAGAAATTTAATTATAATGCAGGAATAATTTTTAGGAGAGTAAAGACATATTTTACTTCTACGACTTACTTTGGATATTGTTCATCAGCAACATATTTTTCATAAAATTTCGGTCTTTTACTAGTGAAAGGGTTTATTCTCTCGTGTGGTGAAACAAAGTATAACACCAGCAGGTACTAATGATTACTAAAAATTTTTTCATGTTTATTTAACATCCAACAATAACACCATTTTGCAATTGATTTTCAAAAGAAAAAAAAATTGTGAAACGGTCATAACAATAAAATCGATTATAATTTAATTTAATAATTTTCTTATTTCTGACTAACAGGAATGATAATGAATTCATAATTAAAAATATTTATGTTCCTGGTCCATTTTTTGATTCCTTCACAGCGCTGTTAGTAAGTTTTTTTATTTCCACTGATCCATTTCGTATAAAAAAAGGAATTAAAAATTATTGTTCTTTTTTAATAGTAATCACCTATTATTTCAAAGTATAAATAATTAAGATAAAATTTTTTATAATATCATTTAACCAATTTCTTTCATACAGACAAGATAAATGACTTTATCGAATGGATATTCTACCCACACCATGATTAACTAGATACGTTAAAAGGCTGTAATTTTTAGAATTTAAGGTGGCTCCAGCGCCTAGTGCCGTATCAAAATGGGAAGACTAAAAATTAATCATTATTTTCTTTAAAATATGGTAAAAAATTATTGTAGAGACTGTTGTAAGCCATATTCTACAT